CCTCTTCTTCCTTCCTTCCTTCCTTCCTTCCTTCCTTCCTTCCTTCCTTCCTTCCTTCCTTCCTTCCCTCCTTCCTTCCTTCCTCCCTCTCCCTTCCCTCCTTCCTTCTTTCCCTCCTTCCCTCCTTCCTTCCTTCTTTCCTCCCTTCTTTCATTCTTTTTTCCTTCCTTTCTTCCTGGCTTCTTTCTTTCTTTTTTCCTTCCTTCCTCCCTCCATCCTTCCCTCCCACCCTTTCTGCTTCCCTCCTACCCTTCCTTTCTCCCTCCTTCTTTCCCTTCCTGCCTCCTTCCCTTCCTTCCTTCCTACGTTCCTTCTTACTTTCCTTCCCTTCTTCCTTGCGTCTTTCTTTTCTTTCTCTTTTTCTTCCTTCTTTCCTTCCTCCCTCCCTTCCTCCCTCCCTTCCTTCCTTCCTCCCTTCCTCCCTCCCTGACTCCCTTTCTTCCTTCTTTCTTTCCTTTCTTCCTTGTTTCTTTCTTTCTTACTTTTCTTCCTTGCTTCTTTCTCTTTCTCTTTCTTTCTTTTTTCCTTCCTTCTTTCTTTCCTTCTTCTTTCTTTCTCTTTTCTTTCCTTCCTTCTTTCTTTCTTTCTGACTTTCTTTTTCTTTTTCTTCCTCCCTTCATCCCTCCCTCTCTTTCTTTATTTCTTTTTCTTTTCCTTCCTTCTTTCCTTCATCCCTCCCTCCTTCCTTCCCTCCCTCCCTTCCTTCTTTCCTTTCTTTTTTCTTTTTTTTTTTTTGATGTGGTCCTGGGGCTTAAACCCAGGGCCTGGGCGCTGTCCCTGAGCTTCTTCAGCTTGAAGGTGTCCCTTCTACCACAAGCTGTACAGGTAGGTTGTGTGGGGAGGGGTGGTGGTACCTTGGAGCTGAGAGTCTGATAGCCTTTCCTGCCTGGGCTGGCTTTGAACCATGATCCTCAGCTCTCAGCCTCCTGAGTGGCTAGGCTGACCAAAACTCCTTTATTTAGAAAAAAAATTAATTTTTTTTCAGTGGGAGGTTCGTGGTGTGTCTTTGCGAACTTCTTTAGGAAGGACAGGGAGTGGACCCCACCATGTTGTCTTGTGGGGTACAGATGCCCACAGGAGCTCCTGTGAAGGGTTCCTGGGGAGGGAGGAACTCATTCACCCTCTCGCGTCCTCATTTCGCAGATGTCTGAGGGACGGCGCTGGAGATGTGGCTTTTATGCAGCATAGCGCCCTACTTGGTAAGAACAAAAGCTATCCTCTTCCTTTAATGCCAGTCCCAGGGCTCGAACTCAGGGCCCGAGCGCTGTTCCTGAGCTTTGTGTGCTTGAGGCTGGTGCTCTACCATTGAGCCACAGCTCCGTTTCCAGCTTAATGCTTGCTGATTGGAGAGAAGAGTCTCATGGATTTTCTCTCTTGCCTGGACTGGCTTCCAACCACCATCTTCAGATCTCAGCCTTCTCCTTCTCTCCCTTCCCCAGAGGTGTTGACCGATGCAGCCAAAAGAGACCAGTATAAATTACTATGCCCCGACAACACTTGGAAACCTGTACACGAATATAAGCAGTGTCACCTGTCCAAGGTCCCTTCCCGCGCGGTGGTGGCCCGGAGTGAGGATGGCAGGGAAGATTCCATCTGGCAAGTTCTCCGCCAGGCCCAGGTATCCCCACCTACGGCCCTTTCCATCCATACTCAATGCCTGGGGTGCTCAACCATTTGAACCACGCATCCAGTCCTGCTTTGTGTGTATCCTGGCGTTGGAACTTAAGGCCTGGGCTCTGTCCCTAAGCTTTTTTTTTTTTTTTCTCAAGGCTAGCGCTCAACCACTTTGAGCCACAGCTCCACTTCTGGCTTTTTTT